CGTGAAGTTACGGCGTGTGCAGTCGTACCACACAGCCGCTAAAGCAGCGTTCAGACTTCGCGACGCCGACGCGAACTACTTACCGTACAGGTGAAGGTTTCTACTGAACTGCTGAACTACCGACCAAGCTAAACACAATATGATTGATGAGAATCAAAAAGATAACCAAAACTGCAGGGAACCTGAAAAACCCACCTCGAAAACAAGAAAAGTTGCGCGCAGAACGGCCGTCCATCCAAAAAATTTCAATGCATCTGAAAAATTTCACTATGTCAAAGGTAAAAAGCATAATAACTGACAAACATTAGAAACAGATTAGAAATAATAGTGCCAGGAGGAGGAAGAAACAATCGAGAAGCAAGCGGGAGGAGAAAGAAGCAAAAAGTAACCGAAAATGGCTGTAAATTAGCATCCGTCCAGTTCGCGATCGATCGCGGGTGCGATCGCGAAGTCTGAACGCTGCCTAGGGCACAGGATTATGCAATGTAGTGTACGTGCGGCTGCACACGTCGCAATGTCACGACGCCTGATTCAGGTGTTTGCTAGCCTCCAACTTTTCCATACTCTACTCCCGGTCGCTGGTGAAAGCTGGTGGGCACTGGCAAATGCTGGTGGATGCTCGCAGACGCCGACAGACGCTCGACGCTAGACCGATATCTATACTTTGCTGGTCGCTTGACGCTGCCAGACGCTCGGAACGCTAGTGGACGCTGGTAGACGCTGGTGGACGCTACCATAAAGTATGAGCGCGGCCTGAAGAAGACATATTAGTAACCCGATTACAGATGGAACTCTGATCGTCGCTCAGCCGTTGACATCAAATCTGGTGACTGAGTTTCCGATTACGGTTTTTGCTCGTGACAATGGAAGGCCCTCGTTGAGAACCACCCACAAGGTCAGTCACCGTGCTGTTTCTTGAAAATTTCCACATACATTCCAACCTTCTACACGGGAACATTTCACATCATTCCAGCTCACCATCCATGTGTTTGATCCATCTGCCGAGCAACCAATCTTCCCCAACGAGTTACCCGAGAAGGTGGTGTTTGTTGGATCACAGCCTGGTTCAGAAGTGGCCACGAATCCTAGCAGGACCAACAGTCAATACAAAACCCACCCAAGATAAGATACTTTACGGGCTGGTTGATAACCATGGGTGAGCTTATAGAGTCGAAATTTCAATTGGTGCAAGAATAAAGCAATTCTTTCAGTGGCTTGTTTGAAATCGAAGACGGTGGTCGCTTGGTTATGGGCCGTCTTCCAACAGAAGCTGAAACAAATCGCTACGTTCAGCTGAATATTACTGCGGAAAACAGCCACGGCAAGGCTTGGGTATTGGTGAGTCTGGAATGATATTGCGTCCGTGAAGGCACAAAGCGAGTTTGTGTACATCGTAAGGGTGTAATCAGGCCTTCTGTAATTCATTCTTTCTCATTGGCACTCCGCTCGTTAGATCGTTTTAGAAAGAAAACGCAGTGATGATGAAGGAAGGTGGTTAGGCCTGACTCCGCCCTTACGATCAACTTATTCTGCGTCAAAACCCTTTAGAAGGCGAAAGATAGCTGCTAGTTGCTTTATACATTCTAAGCTGCGCCACGCTTCGACTCCCTCTTAGAACCAAAGAGATGTTTGAGTGCGTATACCAGATACGAGGCGGTACTCAGTTCTGTATCTTTACCTCTTTTGCTTGACCTTACATCAGTTATACTACTACAGGGCCGTTGAGTGGTGTTCTATGACACTGTGGTAGATTGAATTGATGTGAGGCTCATCCAGGTCACTCTATGGCCCCGTGTACCCCATGCAGGAGAGAGTGGCAAGG